CTCTCCTGACATCACTTGGTCATTTATTTCCTCAGACTTGACAAAGCTCCTAAAGAGTGACAGAAGATGTTGTTTAAGTGTTTTCCGTGTAACTAGAAAAGTGACATTCATGTTCAAATCACTGGGGTTCCTTTTGGACATTTAAAAACAATGTAACACCAGCACTTAAGGAGAAACTGTGCAGGGTAGGAGATGGAGAGATAAACAGATGGAGAAGGGCAGTGGAATGAGAAGGAGACCACCAAAATAAACTCTATACTTGTGATGAATGCTCTGCTCAGAAATAGAAATCTCATCCCTCTCTCCTCTCTCATCCCGTTTCACCCTGTTATTTCTCCACCTCTTCTCTTTTCCCTCTTCCACATCTCTAACCATCTCTGCCTATATATTTCTTGGTATCTGTCTGTAGCTCCCTCCCTCTTCCGAGCTCTTTCTGTCTCTCTCACATATTGTGCCATCTGCTTGATCAATGGGGCTGATTCTTTTCAGGAAATTCTGTCATGATAGATTTTTTTAGCTGTGTAATGCCTGTGCCTTTTTCTCTTGTTTTTTTTTTTTGGAGAGGAGGCAATTTGCTTCTGTGACAGAAGCTTTGAAGGACACCAAAGCAAAGTGATGTTTTGTTGTTTTTGATCAAACACTTGTTAATTTTATGTTGTATTTTAAAAACAGTATTTTAAACAGTAGTAAAAACATGTTACTGTGATCTCTGAATGACTTTGCTCAGCACACAGAGAATAAAGAGAAGTTTGCATGTATGCAGTTTTATGTTATTTCACAGTAAAACATTTACAAAAAACCTGCCTCAGGTGCTGATGCAGGATAGATATCAGCTTGAACCTTTAAAGTGAATACCACTAAGTGAGCAATGGTTTAAATGTCATTTTAAAGACCAAAACAGGAGGACTAGCATCGAGGATCAACCACCTGGATGGGAGCAGAGTTTGTGGATGGTTGTCATATGTTAAAAGACACTGAGACCATGTCAGTTCAGTGCCCAATGAAAGTGAAATTTAAAAAATACACACAAAAATTAAATGGATTATGTGTGAACATATTCCTACATATGTCTTTCTATGGTTGTGTGGACAAGCAGTAGTTTGAAACCATTGGTGTGAGGACATTTAGGTCAGTCCACACACCTTCAAAGATTTGCTTTGGTTTTAGGATAGAATTAAGTTTGGGTGAGGGCTGGGGTTAGGCATTTAACTGTCATAGCTAAGGTTAGGGTAGAGCTCTAGGAACTGAATTATATCAGTGTCTTCACAGCAATAGTAAGAAAAACGTGTGTGTGTGTCTAATTAAATATAAAAATCTGAGTTAATATTTAACCAACTCAGTATCAAGCAATACTATTAAACCATTATAACATGTGGTATGTCTTCTTCTTCCTTCTCTTGTTCTTCCTGCCCTACATGCTCCACTGTGTTTTGATTATTGGCCGTGTGTGTGTGTGTGTTGGGGGGGGGCATTTCTGGGGAGAGAAGGATCACAGATGGACCTTGTCAGATCTCTGTACATCTGGCTTTATTCCTGTCCAGTTTTACACACACATACAAAAACAATATATACAATATACTTTACCTTGGTCATTATCGCATGTACACAAGCATGAATATATGCATATATAACATTTTGCACATGCTAAACAAACACAGACTTACAGTACTTAACCATACATCCTTGGACCCACTAGAGCACTCACTAATTCACACATTTGCTCACACACAGACGCACTGTGCAGCAGGATACAGTGGGTATGGACTCCTGTTGTGGTTGGACTTTGCCAAAGTAATGATGCCAGGGAATCTGGACCTTGCCAGGTTTAATGGTAGCCAATGGCATATCAGTGTTTGAATGCCAGATTTCAAAGGGCCAATCCTGGCGTGTATATAGAGCCGCTTGTTGAACTGTCTGAAAATTATGCATAACGTCTTCACAGAAAAGTCATTACATTCTCGTTATATAATTCATGGTGATGCTGACAACAGCAAGTTCATAAAAGACAAAAAACATTCTACTTATCTGTTTAAAATCAAGATAATGAATTTAAAAAAACTCGACCTAAGATAAAAGGATTTTTTATTTTTATTTTTGAGTTTTATATTTCACACAATGTTAACTGATTCATCCAAGGGTCAATCAGTGTGTGCACAAGAAAGCTCTGCATGTGTGTGTGTGTGTGTATCAACCATTTGAGGTCCCTTTCTGGGATCGGGACATATGCTTCATAAGACTCCTGTGGACACACAAACACGCAGACACATTCAGGCCTTTACAGCTCAAGGACAAAAGGAAAACCCCCACTATATCTCACTGAGGCTAATGTGCTGATGTGCTCTGACCACATGACCTATCTGTCAGTAAACAGTTAATAATTAAAAACTAAATTTGAAATTTTGCCTTGACTACATTTCAGTCAGGCTTTTTTGCATGCGACTCTCAACCTCCGTGGATGACAGGCTCCTAGACATGAAGTGCTACCCTATACAGTAAGCTTCTTGTAGCACATGAATAAGCACACTCAAGATAATGGTGAATATTCCTTTTGTCATCTTCTGTTTTTATCCCTTGTCAGCCCCCATCTCAACCTTCATTCCAAAGCTTTATTACCACTGCTCAGTGCACAGTGCTAGTACAAGAGGATGTGCCCATCTGCTCAGAAAGTTTTCTTGGATTCATCAGGGACACGTGTGACTGGAGACAAGTTGGTGTCATTTGTAATGAAGTGTATGTAGTTATCCTGTGTAAAAGTGCCACTGTCTCCAGTCTGTCACACTATATGTTCATAGTTTTTTTTCTTCAGATATTTTTTCTCTTCCCTACCCCTCTTCATTTCCTTCATCCTCTGTCTCACCCTTCTTTTCTTTACTCTATTGCTTTTCCCCTCGCCTCTCTCACTCCAAACATATCCCTATGTGCCCACACAGTATAACCAAACCAGCCTGCTTATTCATGTTGCACCGAGGTATCACTATTTCTCTGCTATTATTTTTTTGTGAAGTCGCCTCAGTATGACTTGCCCCAGACAGCGCTACTCTGTCCCACCCTCATTATATTTTCACACTTCGCTACCTTATGACACAAAGACACACACACACACACACACACACATATGTGTGTATGTGTGTGTGTTCTATGTGCCGGCACGAATTTAATGGAAATCCTTATGTCTGTTTTTGTTTAGAACAATGCCCTAGTTTCTACTTTTTCTCTGCAGCATTTTTACAGCAGTAAGCCATTCAATGTACTATACACATATTCTGTAAATTATGTTCTGCGGTATGCTATTTGTTTTCTGTTGTCAGTGGCTGCCATTCCCGCACAAAGTTCAACACACTGCACTACACATGTCAAATCCTCATAAAGCGGTGGTATTGAAAGATTTTGGTGGATGGCTTGTTAACAGCAGTTGTTGACTCACAGGCTGTAGAAATATAGCCTTCATTAGCTACGTATATAACTGACTGACATAGTAGCAGATTTATTGAGACAATTTTTTCCCCAAAAGCATCAAACTTAAATTCTGCTGCTTAGCAATGGAAGGTTAAGATTGTCTGAAATATTTACATTAGCATTTAGGGCGGCACAGCAGCGCCATGGTTAGTGTTGTCGCCTCATAGCAACAAAATTCCAGGTTTGAACCCAGGCCGAGTTTGCATGTTCTCCCTGTGCCTGTGTGGGTTCTTTCCGGGTACCCCAGCTTCCTCCTACTGTCCAAAGACCTGCAGCTTAGGTTGGCCGGTGACTCTAAATTGCCCTTGTGAGTGTGTGTGGTTGTCTATCGCTACATGTCAGCCTCTTGCCCAATGCCATCTGGGATTGGTTCTAGGCCCTAGTCAGGAATAAGCAGTATAGGTAATGGTTGGATAGATCTGAACTCTATTTTAACCCTTGTGTTCTGTTAAGGATCATAATAATGTCATGTTAGCATTTAGCTAACACTACTTGAAAGTGTTTATAATAAGTGATCAGATTGGCTTTATAGTGCTGACAAGCCAAACGTGGGATGAATCACAAATACTGAGTGATGGAGGATAAAGGTTTGGGATCAGAACTCCTTTCTATGACAGCACAATCATTGTAACCTCTTGTTCCCTTTGAAAATGAGATTCTGCACCAAGGACTTAGTAAAAACTCTAAAGGTTTTTGAAATGTCTGGTAGATACACTAGCAAATGAAGACAATCTGGATGTAAATGTATGGAAATAAACTGCCAAAGAGCAATATGTAATTTCTGATATATGCTGGTGTCATGTTTTTTGAATGGGGGCAAAAAAAAAGTGCTCCATTAATGTAGAGCGATGTGTGATGCTGAGTCTGTCAGTCTTGAATACATGATTGGGAGCTAATGTGTTTATGCTTATTTCTTCTGGTAGAGGAAGTGTTGAGAATCACGATGTGCTGTGATGTATGGTGTGTCAGCGGGTTGTAATGCATGTGTGAATTTATGTGAAAAAGCTGATGGTATGTGTGCATGTGATTATGATGGCGTGATATATCCAAAAAGAGACACTGACGAGACGACCAAGGGGTTCTCAAGATGCCAAGAAAAACCTATTTATTCAAAGTGCACAAGTGAAACAAATATGTTTGTTTCACTTTATCACATCTTGTCAGTGTACCGGCCCTTTTCACATATATGGGATTTGTTGCTTTTGACCACACACACCTGACATAGTATTTGAAAAGCTGGGAATTAAGAGCCTGAACCTTGCAATCATTTTTTATATTAGTGTGTGGATACAATAAAAATGTATTTCTCAGGTCTGTGCATCATGGATTTGCATACTGTTTGTTGGCTTGACTTTAATATATGATTAGCTGATTTAAATTTTACAAGTGGTTTTAGTCAGGTATTGCGTCAGTTATCTGTTTTATGAAAAGATGATTTTTTAAAATTATAATGAAGTTAATCCTTATCTTTCTTTTACTCCTCCCCTTCCTTCTCTGTCTTTCTTTGCTTCTTTTCTGCTTTCTTCTCATCTATCCCTCCTCAGTGTCAGATAGCCAAGCTGGAGCAGCAGGGCTCGGAATAGGAGGAGGGCCAGACTCCTCTCAGCTCCGTTTCTCCAGCTCGCTCCCCACTTACCTCCCAGTCCAATGCCAGCTAAGTGGTGCTGACTCCGCCTTCTTCCTGCGGGAAGCTAATCAGGAGGTAATGCGAAATGGCAGCCTATCATCGCGGACTGAGCCCTTCTTTCTCCATCAGCTGGAACCAGGCGCTGCGGCCCCACAATCCCTGCCAAGTGTCAATTGCAGCTACGGAAACATGAGTGTTGAACAGCCAATCCCTGTGGAGCTGCTTCAGGGTGCCCCACCTCATCTGCTGCTGACGTCTAACCAGGTGACTCTGAACTGGAAAGTCAAAGGTCAAGTTGTGGTGCCGAAGGTGGGGTCAACACGGCCATGGATACAGGTACTGACAGTTTGTTTTACTTTCTTCATGACCTTTTCCTCATAAATCTTCCAATGTAATTAAATAACATTTAGGTTTCATATGTATTTAACATACCAACCCCATGTAAGAAACATCAAATGCAAAAGGAATTCTGTTATGTTATTCATACATTTGTCTGACTGCTGATGGCTATTGGCTACCAAGTGTCAGTAATCAATTATAAAACAGCTGCCTGCTTTGACTAGAGAAAAGGGGACAGTGGTGAAAGTGAACCAAATGATAAATGAAATGAAAACAATCCACTGAAAGACTATAAAACGCTCTGTAGGGCTGCGGAGTCGGGTGATAATTCTCTATGGGCTCATTATTATGAGCAACACCTTTCACTTTACACAGCAATTTGGTCCAGTGATTAGTGCACCTTTAAAAAATGTACTCATTAGTGCATATTTAGAACTCTGTACAGGGGAAAGAAGAAGAAAATGTTTTCATGAATTAAAGTAGACAATTGTTTTCCTTGCCATGTCCAAACCTTTTGTTATTGTGAGGTGTTTAAACATTATTAATACTTTCAGCCATCTCTTACAGTGCAAGAAAGAGAACATTTGAAGTTTTTCATTTTTGACTAGCTGTCCATCTAATGATTTACCTGTTATGACATTATTGTATTTATTGTGTCGTCAGGTACTGTTTTACCTGGTAGGGCGGCGGTGGGACGAACCCGACCCGCCATCTCCATCCCTCCTCCCATGTGTCAGAGCCTTGGCCATTCGTGACACCAGTGAAGCAGCACCCTCGGCAGGCTGCCGACTTGTGGGACCATCTCGCATCTGTGTTGTCCGTCTGGAGATTCCCCCAGCTTGGTTTACACCCCCACAAGTGAGAAAAAGACCAACAGAAGTGACTCTACCATCACTGGATGTGTACTACTCCATCATACCAGTTGAAGGAGCTGGTCAGGAGTGTCCCTCCATTGTTAACGAGCCATGGAGAGGGCAGAGTGCAAATGCTGGGCCCCTTGGAAGCCTGGCCATGGGCCTTGGGGGACAGTGGAGCCCTCTAGTGGATGGGGGTCTTCAGGACATGCTGAAAGCTGGTTCTGTGTTAATGACCATGGGCCCGGTTTCTGCCAAAGGAGAAAGATTGCGACTGGATGAAAATGTGGAGGTTCTGGTGCCGCCCAGCCCAGTTCGACTCGGCAAGACGGTGGCATTTGGCATCTATATGAAGACAGATTCAAACACGGAACAGTTTATATTGAGGTGGGAACACAAATGCTTTGGTAGAACTGACTTCAGGTTTTCTTTTCCCTTTCTGTCTCAGTTTCTTTCTGATTTGTTTTTGTATCATCTCCACTTAATGTTTTCCTCCTCATTCTCTCTCATCTCTCAACACAGCCGCCTCCCGAGGTTGATGGCTGTCACCTTTGTATACTCAGCCTCTTTCAGGAGCCAGCAATGCAAATAACAACTTCATGAATATTCATGATTGATCCAAGGAGAGACAAAAACACAGAAAATGAAAAGGGGAAGAGCGAAAGGATGACTGAGAGGGACTTAAGGTTGAGGAGACAGGGGAATGAAAGAATAGCTATAAAATTAAAGTAGACCCTGAATTCTCAAAAAGTTGTACTCAGAATGACTCTCAGGTGTACTTTAGGAGGTCGTCTATATGGTTTCCCACATAAGCAGCAATTTCATGCACCCATATCCCAGGAAACACATTTCAGATTCGGGTCGCTGGCTGAAAATAAGTTTACAACCCCTGATCTAGACTAAGCATGCAAATCTGCATCCCATCTCTGCCTCATCATTTCAGTGACTTTAGGGATTTCAGGCTGACAAATGACAGATGTGCAGATTTATCATTCTATCCAAAAGGCATCCCAGCACATAAGACCATGGCTGGATATCACATTATTCTACCAATATTCTCCTGTGAGTTTAGAACTATTGAGAACATTTTAGAGGGAAACTTTTTAGTATTTCATTATCACATTTCCTCAAGGAAAATCTGAAACACACTGAACATGGTAATTGGCACGTCAACTGACTCACTTTTTCACATGAAGCTTGAGTTTTTCTTTTCAGATCAATTTCACAGAATGACAAAGAAATTGGCTTTACATAATGAAACTGGCACATTTGTGCAACAGAAAGTATGTGGACTGACTTCAGTTGTTGCACATTTCTGCATGACAGTAATCCTTTCAATAATTCATAACAGTGTGCTGCTTTTGGAGAATGTCTGATAAATTAAGTGTCTTAGTATCAAATTTTGTTTGATGTAATGAGTGACAAATGATGGAAATGAAGACGAAATGATGAAGAGGTTTGGGATGGCTCGGCAACTAGATACAAAGATATTTGTTATAATTTTTTTACAGCAGGTCTGACCACTAATATTACTTATGCAATAATACATTTCAAGGAATGTTTTTACAAGCATAGAAGGTTAATCAAAAATTAAGACTGATGCCGAGGCACAGGCCTGTATTCAGTCAGACTTATGGATTTTTTTAAATAGTGTGTTCAATTTTAGGAAAACTTTAAAGGCCAAACAGGTGTGCTGTGGTAGGACCTCATATACTTTTGTGTAATGTGCCCCATCCTTATGGCATGTCTACACAGAAAGTGTTTCAGCTGTGTGTTCAGTTCTCCACATAAGTCTGAAAGAACACATAGGCTTCTAATGTAATCACTCCAGCTGCCTACACAGGCCATGTAATGGCAAACATTTTACTAGCAGGGGGCCAACAATTCAATACTGTGAACGCCTCTAGTGAAGACACACATGGTGCATTGTTGCCGCTGCTCTACTAATGTGCTGCTGACACTACACCTTCTGTGTGGAAAATTGTGTAACAGTTGCAATAAAGCTAACAAGGTGCTGGATGGTGCTGTCAGACCAGATTACCCCAGGTGCAGTTTACTCACATGTGGTGAAAAGTAGACACAGAATAGCATCTGTGGGATTTTAAACATAAGCTGTGGGAGCTAGTAAGACTAACAAGAACAGTCCACAATGTTGTAAATTGTATAGCTTTTACTGTTATCAGCCGTCCTGTCTGCATCCCAGGTCAAACCCTGGATGTAGTCAAACCTTGTTTGACCAGTTTGGCCATGGACCTGTGTTAAAAGTTCAATTTCAGGACAAAATGAGCACCAAAATTACGCTGCACTGCCTAATCAGCATAAACACAGCCTCAGTTGCGCCTGCCTCAGCGTAAGCGCATTCATTCATGGCAGCAAACTACCACAGCGGTGTACCAAAAAAACAAAAAAAAAAACAACACTTGCACGTTTTGAAGCTATGCCGACTTTGTGCTGGCAATAGAATAGAGCCCTTTTTCTCTGACTTTATTGTACAACACCCCTGCTGTTTGTGTGTGTGTGTGTGTGTTTACGTGTCTACATGTACACGTGGTGTGGTACTGCTGCAGAAAGATAGGAAAGCAAAAAATCCTCACTTTTTTTTAAATGAAATAATACCTCCTTTTTCTTCCCTTGGCTACTATTTTAAATTTCAGCAAGTCCTGCACCATTTTCAAGATTGTCCAAATCTCTTCAACTTTTCTTTCTGTCTGCATCTCAGTTGAGAGGTGTGTGTGTGCGCCTTTGTATTACTTACATTATGGAGAGTGTTAACACACTCACATTGTGGGGACTTGGCCATCACTGAATTTTATGATGGCAACATGGTTTAGGGTTAAAGTTAGGTATTAGGGAAGTAGTGGTTATGATTAAGGTTAGGATAAGTCTACAGGAAATGAATGTAAATCAATGTAAAATCTCCACAAGGAATGAAAACACAGTGTGTGTCTGCATCTGAGTTGGAAGGTGTATGTGTGTGTGTGTCTGACTTTGTGTTTGTTTTTGCCCATCCTACTTATAGCTCTTAACCTCTGCCCAAGCATACAGTCCCATGGATAATCTCTCCTGTTAGAAGCAGTCAGACATGTAATAAGTCCTAAGTGGATCTCATTCCTGAATGTGAATGTGTCCGTGTGTGTACATGTGTGACACAGTAAGTCTTAAGTGTGCTTCATCACACTGAGGTGACATGGTTATGATAAACTGCTGAGGAGATGGAGGGACACAGAGAAAGGGAGACAGACAGAGACAGAAATGAAAGGAGAGACAAGGAATGGAAAAAGAAAAATAGTAGAAAAAAGGAGAGGTTGTGATGGGAGATGGATAAACACTGAAAGAAGGGAAGAGAAAAGCGTCCTTCATTTGCATCTCTTCCTCAGTGTAACTCTTCCAAAAGGAGAGGATGGAAGGACAGAGGAACTGAGAGTCATGCATGTGATGAACATGCATTTACCAAATTGGATTGGGCATCCTTCCTGTATCACCTGTCACTGGGATTGTAGTCTCACATGACATTCTGTCACTTTGTGATGAGATTACATGTCTGCAGGCAAACTTTGTGGTTGTGGGTGTTTCAGACATCCAGTACGGGTTAGGTTGCACTGCCAAGTCAGATTCTTCCAATTTAGTTACATTTTGTGTTCATGTCATAGCCTCTACTGTGATCATTTTAAATGTTCCTAGTTCTTTCTTTCCTACCGCATCAAACCACATCACAGCTCATTACATTTGTTCCAATTTACTGTACGTCTCTGCTAAATATCGAGCTTACTGTACTGTGGTTTTCTGACTCTCTAATGTACAGTAACTGCAGTCTGCTGTTCAAAGACTTGTTACAGAGATGCCAGTGCCGCCTCCTGCAACTGATCACAAATTATCCAGCTAGACAATTAAACATCTTTATAGCTGAAAGAGCACAATGTACACAATGGACGTGTGCTACATCAGTTTGTAATTGGTTCTTAACACTGGTATTCAAGCTTAGATATTAATAAACAATCAAAAAACACTGAATATACACTAATGCACCAAACATAAATGGACTTTCCCATCTTATGTGCCTTAGCCCATATTCACTTAGAAAGGAAAAGAGGAGTCGGGCACCCCGTAGCTTTGTGGTTATGGCACATCGCACCATATACCCCTTTGGGGTTTGTGACGTCAGCAATTCGACTAGATTGCTGACAGCTCTGAAGCAGTCTCTCTCTCCCTCTGTCTCCCATTTCCTGTCTGCCTTTCTGCAAGCCAACTGATTAATAAAGGCTAAAAAGCCTGAAAAAAAAAAACAACTAAATAAAAAAGAAAGGAAAAGGGGAGAACAAGAAGAGAAGAGACATTTTGTTAATTAAGAAACACCAGAGAAAGGTACTGTATGTTCTGGGCTTATTGCTTTATTCAGATTGCACTGGTCACAATGATTTTAATTTGATTTTACTTCTCTCTCCCAAGATGCAGTTTACTGACTGGAGCATCATTAAAGGATGAGGAACCTGGGGATTGTAAATATCAAATCAGGAAAAAAAAAAGAGGCAGGCAGCAGGCAGTCAAGGTGCTAGCAAACCTGTGATGTGGTGTGCTCTGGTGTTTTTCAAGTGAGCTACCAAACAAATGGTACAGTGAGTAACAGAAGTATTTGAACACCCTGCGATTTTGCAAGTTCTCCCACTTAGAAATCATGGAGGGGCCTGAAATTCACATTGTAGGTGCAGAATAAAAAAAAAATTTCAGGAAATCACATTGTATGATTTTTAAAGAATTTATTTGTCTTGCACTGCTGAACATAAGTATTTGAACACCTGAGAAACAGCAAGAATTCTGGCTCTC